GTTACTGGCGCTCCCAACACCAGCTGGCCGGCGCGCTGGAACCCGGAAGAGCAATGGGCAACAGAGAGATGGCTCTGCGTGCCCTTTCCGGCACACGAGCCAAGCGTTCGCCATCAGGGGTTTAGGTATTAACTCTGTTAAGGGAATCTTGTAATAAAACCCACACTTAATGGAAGCTGACCGAGTGACCCTGTCCAGCCGCCATCACTCAGTCCATGCTGGGATTAAACTGATAGCACGAGGACTAAATAAGCCACTTTGAGCTTTTAGAGGAAAAGCGGGATATAAATCAAACCAATAAGCAAAGGTATCACTATGTCAATGCCTGTGGTCCCCTATCTGCGGACTCCCTGACTTACGATTCTCCTCCGAAGATGCACAGCGAAGTAGCTACAAGTTTCTCCGAGTTGCCTTGCCTACCTTTAAGGAGCAGAGAGTTGCTTCCTGACTGTTGAGAGGGGATGCTACACTTTGCAGCCAGGGTTTGCGCTGTAGCATCAGCATTTACAAACCCTTAACTACAGGTGGAGCCTCTCTTCTCGGCTACGCGTAAAACCCTGAACGCTTTTCCTTTCTAACACTCAGCAAGCAACGGAAGGAGTGGACAAGCGGTCAGGGCTGGAGTTGGGGACTTCTCAGGCACACTCACACGCAGCATTGCTTCTTAGTGTTTGGCCCGCCAAATTTTGGTTTGTCTAGGCAGTTGATGCATTCGCCGCAATCCTGGAGCCTCAGGCATCCTTTGCACTTCCCACAGCGAGTCATGCGGTTCTTTTTGCCGTGATGGTGAGAGACGTGGCGACGCACAGGGGGCGGCGTGGCCTTGACGGCGGAATCCGGCTTCACTTGTTTCTGCTGGCCACACTCGTTCTCAGACGCTGACGAGGTCTCTGTAAAACAGGCCAAACATTAACCTGGCTGTTAAGGCCGATGCTGCAATCCCTAATCCCGTAAGCCTCTCTGAACTCCATCCCAGACTGCAGCTAAAATGAACCTGTGGTTATTAGCTGACGTACAATTCTGACTTGACAGGTTAGATCAGGGTCAGACCCCGCACCCCCAAGGTGTTCAAGATTGGCTTCCAAGGGGTCAGTGGGACCACCCAAGGGGTTGATAAATGGCTGGAGGTTAAGAGGTAGTTGAGAAATGATGGAAGGTCAATTGGGGTCAATTAATCTTCTGGAGCCTCTGTAGATTGCTACACTACCCGTGTTTCCCTGAAAATAAGACCATCATATATACATATATATATATGTGTGTGTGTGTGTGTGTGTGTGTGTGTGTGTGTGTGCGCGCGTACGTACGTACGTACGTACTGTATGTATGTATGGTCTGTCTGTCTGTCTGCATGCCTGCCTGCCTG